TTGACATGAAGATCTTGACAAGATCATAAAGTTCTAACAATGCGTTTATAAGCACTTTGAAAAATTTTCTTTACAAATTGATTTTAAGGGTGAGATTTACTCAAAGTAATTGTTACGATTAATATGAGAGCATACATTCCTTCTTAGACGACCATTATTATGGATGGAGTGACTTGGAGATGACTGAGAGAAATGGATTGTTGTGACGTGGTCGGAAAGAGGGATGAAATGCAACGATATAATCAGTCAACATTAATCATTGTTAAAATTTAAAACATTTTTAAAACTTTCACTCTTTATTTTTGTTTTTTTTAACACGCGGAAAAACAATATAATTAACTATACCGATGAGTCGACAATCGATGATCAATGTTCTAAAAAGCTCGTATAGGCTCAAAGTTTGGGCAAAATGCTTCGCTCTTGAGACTTTTTTTTTTCTATTTCTAAACGGTTGAATTTTTTTTCTTCTTTTCGTCTTCCCCAGGTGCCCTCAATTAGTTTTTTTTAGAAAGTATTTTATTTGACTTAGTTTATTAATTTTTATTTTTATTTTTTAAAAAAACTTTTCACTTGACTTTAATTTCAAGTTTATAAAATTTGTACAAAAAGTTAAAAATGACTTTATCTAAATAGTTAAATAAGATTTATGCTATGATGCTATCTAGATTATGTACAATCTTGAAACTCTTTTATCTTGTTGCAAACTCCAAAAACATGTATGAAATTCCTATAAATACGTATCAACCCAATTTTTTTTTTTTAGATCACCTCTGATCCTGTCCCTGTGTATCATAAAATAATATCACTAACTAATTAATTTTGCTGAATACATTTGGTCTATTGTTATTTTTCCAATCTCGTAAGGATTATTTTCTACTAGCACATTATTAATCTACATATGATATACTTCTTATTTTTTTTAATATTAAAAGGATAATATCTAGGAATAAATCATACATGTTTGTTAATTTTTTTTAAAAAAAATTGCAATGCAATTTATTTATGTGATAAAAAAATTAGACATTAATGCTTATTCAAAATATTCCATTTTTAATATTGCCATATATTATGATTTATGATTTTTCTTTATTAATTTTACTTTCCCAGATTAATTTTTTCTTCATTTTTGATAGAAAAACAGGGCATGATAGGGTTTTTGACACACATACATTTGACAAATTTTGATTGTCAATTAAAAAAATTAAACAAAAAATTGTCAATAAAAAACTGTCAAATCAGTCCTCGAAAAAAGGCTTCCTTATCTTTTTTCTTATAATTTTTGTTATTGTGTGATATCCATTATTTTAAAACTCATTTTCTTTTTAAATTTATTTTTAACCATACATTTTCACAGTAAAATATTTTGCACGTAAATTTAAAATTTTTTCTTACTTTTTAACCATACATTTTTTTAAAAATTCATTATTAGAAAATACATTTTCAATTAAAACACATACTTACACCCTGTTTGATCCACATTCTTAAAAAAAATTATTTTACAAAACTCATTCTCAACCACACATTTTTCAATAAGAATGTGTTTGATACATATTAAATTGGAAAAAATGCATTTTTTGTGATGTGATGGTGAATATGTGATTGGAAAAGAAGGAAAAATTATTGATGTGATGTAAAATATTATTTTATTGAAAAAATGTGATTGAAAATTAGTAGAAAAATGAGAATGTGGCTCAAACATGGGCTAAAATAATATTACACGCAAATTCAAAATTTTTTCTTATTTTTTAATCACATATTTTCTATCAAATCATTGTTTATGGTATGTTTGAGCTACATTAATTTGGAAGAATGAATTTTGGAATAGTAGATTGATGGAGAATGTGTGGTTGAAAAAGAAGGAAAAGTTATTAACGTCACGAAAAATATTATTTTATTGAAGAATGTGTGATTAAAAATGAGTAAAATAATGAGAATGAAAATTTTAATGCGTACCAAACATGGCTTAAAATGCATTCTCCGCTCGAAATGTGCATCAAACAGATTCGTCAGCACTTTTAAGAAAATTAAACCGCAATCCAACGATGGGCCCCACCAAATATTGAATCTTAAAACGGACTTAAACCCTAGTTAAATCATAAACCAGAATCTTCTAAACCAACGGCTCTGATTCTCTTAAAAAAATGACTTTTAAAATCAAAATCCCAAGACTTTGCATTTCAGCAGCCACCCCTCTTACATCTTTCAGTTCCTTTTCCAGACAAAAACACGCACATTTAGATACAAAAACACACAATATATAGGGATTTTTAGATAACAACGCAGCCATGTGTGGAATTCTTGCGGTACTCGGTATTACAGATAATTCTCAGGCCAAACGGTCCAGAATTATTGAACTCTCCAGAAGGTGTATATATATTTTTTCGTTTCATTGAAGTTTTGGCTTCAATGTGAAGTGTTACATTATCATGTGGATTTATATTGTCGTATTGGTTATATTGTTATCATCTCTGTTTATGTTATTTTGCATTTGATAAAATTTGACTTTGCCGTTGAAATGTGAATGCGCATACTGATAAATTTTGTAATTTATCATTTCCGTGTTTATTTTCCCTAATTAGCTTATAACTTTGTTAAATTTGTTTTAAAAATGATTTTAATTTTGTAAGACCCATATAACTGTTATAGTTTTTACTTAAATGTTGCATGATTTTTTGTTGATAGAATTAATCGTTACGTCTCACCGTGTTAGTATTTTTTTTTAACTTGGATATGTAAAGAGTATGATGTATGGAATATAATTATGCAACCTATTGATAAACTTGATGCAAGGCCACATGATTTTCATTTGCAGTGAATGACGGAATTCTGCTTTCAACTGAAAAATACAGGCGTCTAATAATCCTATATTCCTAGGATCAATTAAAATTTCTTTGCCTTTACCTGGATATTGAAAGTAATATGTGCTTTCTAAGTTCAGTTTTCTTCTGTATTGTTGCTTTTTGCTCTTATAGTAAACTAGCAAACTGATATAATTAGCCGAAAGAGCAATTGCCTAGTCTAAAATTTCTGTCAGAGGAAATATCACTTACTCTTTTGTCATTTGATTTTGGAAATGTAGGTTGCGTCATAGAGGCCCTGACTGGAGTGGCTTGCACTGCCATGAGGATTGTTATCTTGCCCATCAACGATTGGCTATTGTAGATCCTGCTTCAGGTGATCAACCACTATATAATGAAGACAAAACAATTGCTGTCACGGTAGGTGAAGTTTTATTTAATGTTTCTGCTGCTCAGTTGCAAGAGGATGTACGTTAATCTATTCTAGCTTGAGCTTATTCTTGAGTGGAAGGATTACTTAATTGATAGCTAAATTTTGCCTTTTTGAGTTTCGATATGAAATCTAGAAAATCATGCACAATAGTTTTTGGTTTCCTTCTTGTGTGTTCGGAACTTTGGATAGATGTGCAGGCCTAGAAAGGTTTAGGGGATGTAGGCCCCATTCTTGCTTCATGTGAATGTGGAGGACCAGAAACGGATCATCTTTTTCATGTTTAATGTGTCATTTTCAGACAAAATTTTGCCTAAGGTGTCCCATTGCATAATTATGCTTTGCGTATAGGCTGGTAGAGCAAACATTCCCCTCCCCAGTGTAGTGATGAGAGCAACGTTCCATGATCTTGTTCTAAATTCAGCATACTACCCCTGAAGTTTCTTATTACGTTAGAGTAACACTTGTCATGGCATAAGATATGCCACATGGTGCTGATTCTGATATTTGCAGCCATTTACGTTGCCTGATCATTAGTAAGAGAAGATACCATAATGGTTTCTCTGAAAGGAATAGCTGCCTCCTTCAAATTTCTATTTTCCAACTACGTTTTATGTCATGTTTCTTATCATTCCTGGACTATCATTCTGGTTAGCTTCTACGAGGCACATGATATTCTCGACTAGAGTCTGTTACTGATCCTGGAAAAAACCATTCTTACTGGAGAACGATAATGAAAATCCAGTTGAATGTTGAACAATCCATTATTTTTGTTTTGTCCACTTGATTTTTCAATAGCCGTTTTGAAATAATGTGAATGGATTGTTTATTTACAGAAGAACTAGTAATTTGATCTTGCTCCTTGCTCCTTTCTTTTTTCCCTTTTTCTTGTGCTTTTAGGTTAATGGGGAAATATATAACCATAAGGAACTGAGGGAAGAGCTGAAATCTCATCAGTTCAGAACGGGAAGTGACTGTGAAGTTATTGCACATCTTGTAAGTGCTTTTAACAGTGTATTCAGATGCAGGTCTTCCATTCTTTAGTTGACTATAAGGCATATATATCAGTTAAAAAAATCGTTCTTTGCCAAATATTATAGAAAAAGTAATAGCATAAGAATTCACAAAATTTATTCTACATTCATCTATATTTTTGTGGGCTTCACATTTTCCTCTCTCTCAGTATGAAGAATATGGAGAAGATTTTGTCGACAAGTTGGATGGGATGTTCTCTTTTGTGCTTCTTGACACCCGCGATAAAAGTTTTATTGCTGCTCGGGATGCTATTGGCATTACTCCACTTTACATTGGCTGGGGTCTTGATGGTATGTTACTTTCTTTTCCCCTCTATAAAGTCTACAGTTGCTCAATTAAGTATGCACCGGCCATGCTCTAATCATTATGTTATCTTGAATATTTTCTGTGCTTTATTACTTGGTGATCCCCAGCCAACCTTGTTTAGAAAAGGTTGCTTCTTTGTGTACTCATTAGGCCATTATGTCAACAGGTTGCCATTCCTAGGAATGACAATCTATCTCTTACATATGCCAATTGTTTGGCTCTCTCATTCTGTAGTTTCTGTTTAACTAAATGTTATTTTTCCTGTAGGATCGGTTTGGTTTGCTTCAGAAATGAAAGCCTTGAGTGATGATTGCGAAAGATTCATGTCATTCCTTCCTGGCCACATATATTCAAGCAAAACTGGTATGCTTTTGAAATTATTGGAATTAACACATTATTTACTTTGAACTCCTAATCTCAGTAGTAAAATAAGATTACCTCCATTTTTCTTTTACTCCTACAGTATACCTTGTGAATTCTTAATGAATTTTATGCATCTATCTCGCTAATACGTTGAAAATTATGAATCTGCATTTCTACAATAAAATCACACTTAAGTTTTAAGAAGCTATAAAAATTTATATAGTTTTTCAAGTCTACAACTTCTTTAGTGCATTAAGAAGTTAAATCATACTATTGTTTTTAAATCATCCGTGCCGTCTGTTGAAGTTTCTTCTGTTATCAGTTAATCAAAATTTATCATTGCATTTTTCCCCATAATGATTTTAATCTTTCATGATAGGTGTGTTACCAATTAGCTAGGTCTTCTGTATTTAGTGAGAATTTGTAAAAAGAATGGAAGTGAAACTTTTATGTTAATTCTGTTAAAAATTTGGAACTTGCTTCTTAGGTGGTTTAACAAGATGTTAATTAAACATGTGCTTTATTCTGTTAAAATTGGGAACTTGATCTTTAGGTGGGTTAATGAGACGTTAATTTAACATGTACCAATACAGTATAATTTTTTCTCTTCGCTGCAGTTACCTATACTGTCATTTGAAATGCAAGCAATATTCATCATTATATTTGATATTCCATATTATGTTGACAGGAGAGATCAGGAGATGGTACAATCCTCCATGGTACTCAGAACACATACCTTCAGCTCCATATGATTCCTTAGTACTGCGCAAGGCCTTTGAGAAGGTTAGTTGATCCATATTTCTTTACTGGGAGGAAAGACTTTTAGTTGTTCACTCTTGGAGCCTAAAGTTTTGCTTCTGTTGATAAATCATTCTTCTAGCTTTTACTTCTTGCTACTGGATATTATTGTCACAGATTAGAGATTTAGTGTGATCTCTCCCACCGTTGTTCTTTTAATCTTGCCCTTGTTTGGTCCTCATTATTTCCAAAAATACATTTTTCTCCTTATTTTCTACCGCACATTCTTCAATAAAATTATATTACACGCAGACCCAAAACTTTTCCTTATTATTTAACAACAGATTCTCCATCAAAATACTATTCCAAAATGCATTTTGGACAAAAAATGGGGCTCAAACAGGCTCCTAATCTACTCTTCTCATATCATCTTATCTCACTCGACTCTCTTCTTTTTCTTTCCTCTATGGCTTACTTCCTCATATTTATGCATCGTTGCCCCTGCTTCTTTGTTCTTCAATTATTTCCCCTCATTTTTTGAATATTGTTTATGATCCCATTTCTCTTCTTCTCTTAGCCCCTGTTTGAGCCACATTAAAATTTCCATTCTCATTCTTTTACTCATTTTCAACTACACATTTTTCAATAAAATAATATTTTCCATCACATCAATAACTTTTCTTTTTTTTTTCAACTACACATTCTCCATCAATCTACTATTCCAAAATATATTCTTCCAAAATAATGTGGTTCATACACACCCTTATTCAATTCTTTCAAGCACTCAGCAAGGAAGCATATGAAATAGATTTTCTTGAAATCTGTGCTTATCCAGTCTTAGCATATTTTTTGTTTATTACTGTCTTAAATGTCGTTATTAGTTTTTTTTGCCTATGTTAATTTATTTGTAGGCTGTCATTAAGAGACTTATGACAGATGTACCATTTGGTGTACTTTTATCTGGTGGATTGGATTCATCGCTTGTTGCTTCAGTGGCTTCCCGCTATATGAAGGACTCAGAAGCTGCCTGCCAGTGGGGATCTCAGTTGCATACTTTTTGTATTGGCTTAAAGGTAATAATAGTTTCCTCACCTTAGCCCAGCATTTTCAGAATTTCTTCTGCATTTGTATCACTGCCTGAAGCATATTTGTTACCTTTTTATGTTATCTTCATCCTAAAATGACCTTCATGTTTGATTTTTCCAAGTCAAATTGACTTTAGGAAGCAATATCTTGTCTTATATATAGTATCATTGTTTAAGGGAATCCTCTGGGTAGATAAGCCATTATGCAATAGTCTTTTTTTTCCCTATCAAACCCTTTCAAATTTTATGCAGTCTAAATGAAAGAGTTACTTTAAATTTTAATCCATCTGAAATTAATCATAGTTACACTACTATTCTTATCTACTATCTGATAATGGTGCGAGTTTTTGCAAATCATGTTGATCTAGGTTGTATTTTATAGTTTTTTTGTTTTATAATGATTATGACATTTTCATTGTATCTATATTACTAGTTAATCATTATATACTGTAATACATGTTTGCTGAACTTAAAGACGAACTTATTTCCTCAATAGTGGTGGTCTTTCTTTAATTAGATTGGACTTGTTCCAAAACTCTATTATTCTTATATACTATTCCTTTTCCTACTTTATACATTATCCCTTTCACTTTGCTCATTTAGGTTTTATCTCTCAGGGTTCACCCGATTTGAAGGCTGCCAGAGAAGTAGCAGATTATCTTGGCACTCGGCACCATGAGTTTTATTTTACGGTGCAGGTAATTGTTTTCCTAGGAAAATGGATTAACTTGTTGTGCATCACGCAAGGATAAGATTGATCTTTTTAATATTATTATTTTGATTGCTAAATCAGGAAGGACTAGATGCACTAGAGGAGGTCATCTACCATATCGAAACATATGATGTGACTACTGTCCGAGCCAGTACCCCAATGTTTCTTATGTCTAGGAAAATAAAATCACTGGGAGTCAAAATGGTTCTCTCCGGTGAAGGCTCTGATGAAATTTTTGGTGGTTATTTGTATTTTCACAAGGCACCCAACAAGGAGGAGCTTCACCAGGAAACATGTAGCAAGGTACTGTTAATTGCAGCTTTATGTATACTCGTTGCAGCTTTAAATAATTTTTTAATTCTTTATATTGGAACCAGATTAAAGCTCTTCATCTTTACGACTGCTTGAGGGCTAACAAATCAACTTCAGCATGGGGTGTTGAAGCTCGTGTTCCTTTCTTAGACAAGGAATTTATCAATGTTGCAATGAGCATTGATCCAGAATGGAAAATGGTACATGACTATTGATCCTGTTCTTTTTTCACCTATCAGCACTATATTGAGCCATTTGCTGCTATATTTATTTGTAGATCTAAGAAATAGTATCCTTGCTAATATTGAATAAGAAGACGTGCTGCTAATATTTGCAAGAGATAAATTTAAAGGTCATATTTGTCATTGCATCCAATAGTTGATGATAAATGTGTGCATCTTGACAATCTGCCTTTGCTTTGACTTCACATTTTCTATTTCATAATTTTTTGTTACTTCTGTTATTCTTTACATGTATTTGACTCTCCACGTCACATGCCTGATGTACGACATCTTGGCTGCCATTCATTGGATAATTACCATGAGTTGTAATTATATGTATAGAAAAAGGAAATTGATACACAATGGTAGGCGTTTTATTTATGCCATACCGAGTACAAAATTCGTGCAATTAAAATTTCTGAACTTCAGCGTTGGAATTGAACTTTTATCATTTATCAGCAACCCGTAAAGTAGACGATTACTGTAAGCTATATTCTGTCGATATATTCAGACTTTGTTTGACTACCAATGGCAGATAAGACCTGATCTTGGAAGAATTGAGAAGTGGATTCTAAGGAATGCCTTTGATGATGAACAGAATCCATATTTGCCAAAGGTTTGCTCCTTTGCTGTTAATTTGATGGCACTGAATTCCGTATTATTCCACTATTCTTTCTCCTCATTTTGCCTGTTACTCCCTTGAAAGAACAAAACATTTGCATCATGTGGTCAGCTAGTTGACCCTGCCTTTACTTTTTTGGTTTTAGCACATTTTATACAGACAAAAAGAACAGTTCAGTGATGGAGTTGGGTACAGTTGGATTGACGGCTTGAAGGATCATTCAAACCAACAGGTATGAGCAACCTCTCAATTTGTGCAAATTACTAAATTACAATATTTCTCTTTTGGAGCTTCTCAATCGTTGTGACATATTTGAATAATTGCCCTTATAAATGCTACTGTCAGGTTACAGATGCAATGTTAGCCAATGCAAGTTTTGTCTACCCTGAGAATACTCCAACAACAAAAGAAGGGTACTACTACCGGACCATCTTTGA